TTCTTAGTTACACTCTATGATAAACTTCAGAAGTAAATAGTCTAACAGTGCCAGATCTTTCCATTCCTAGTTATATTTTACACAAGTTTTGCAAATAGTTGGTGTACAACTAGAGCTTACTGCAAAGTTAAAATGGTGGCTCTTCTGTAGCAGGGAAGACACTCGGCTAGGCAGGATGTCTATCTCTCTTTTTTTTTTTGGGAGAGGTTTTTAGCTATAGGGCGCGTGCGCTCGCCAGACAGACAGAGAGAGACAGAGACCTAAAGCGAGAAATCACCCCTCAGGGGGGATGGTCACGCCACAATCCCTTCTCCTCCATTCTCCTCTCGGGATCTTGGGCATGCACACACACGCGCCCGGTGTGAGTTCTAAGCCACTGGGTCCGGGACGTGAACTGCGGTCGACTACGTGGGAGTCCAGCGACATAGCCATTACGCTAACTGCTGGTTCCCAGGATGTCCATCTCATTTTGAGCTCCTATAGGCCTCTGCCATTTTTGATTATTTGCATACTTTAAAAAATTTTTTTCTTTAATAATTATTTTATTTATTCATTCATTTATTATTTTATTTTGACCAGAGAGAGACAGAGAGAGAGAGAAAGATTGAGAAAGCAAGCTGCCAGGTCCGGACTAAAACCGTGGTCAGTCGTGTGCGAGTGTCCAGCCCGTTAACCACCACACCACCTGCTGGTCCCATGTATACTATTTTTTTGAGGGAGAGATTTTTGCTATAAGGCGTGTGTGCTCGCTGGAGAGACAGAGACAGAAAGTGAGAAATAACCCCCTGGGGGGATGACCGCACTGCAATCCTTTCTCCTTTTGGGATCTTGGGCACGCATGCATACATACCTGGCATTGAGCATTAAGCTGCCGGGTCCGGGACTCAAACTATGGTCAGTCGCATGAGTCCAGCAAGATAACCATTATGCCATCTGCTGGCCCCTCCTTTTTTAAATTAATATTCATGATAGAGTGCATGCATGCGCACATAAGAGTGAGAGAGAGGGAGGGAGGGAGAAAGAGATGGCACTCTCCATAGGATCTGGTCATGCCATGATCCCCTTCCTCCAGACTGCTAACTCACTGGATTTCGGGCACTCATGTATTTGCTGGGTGTATTTCAGACTGCCGAGGCCAGGGATTTGAACTTTGGTCACCATGTGAGATCTGGCTTCTCTTAAGGCATGTGTTACTGCTGCGCCACAGCTGGCCCAGTATATCCTTCGTGTAACAGTTACATGATGCTGGAGAGTGCAACAGGACTAAACCAGCAGGGAGACACTTTCCTCTAGCTCAGCAACCTTCAGATGGAGGCTCCAAGAACAGCATCTTTTTTTTTTTTTGGAGAGATTTTCACTGTAGGGCGCGTGCACTCGCCAGACAGACAGAGAGAGACATAGAGACAGAAAGCGAGAAATCACCCCTCAGGGGGGATGGTCATGCCGCAATCCCTTCTCCTCCATTCTCCTCTCGGGATCTTGGGCACGCACACACAAGCGCCCGGCGTGAGTTTTAAGCCACTGGGTCCGGGACACGAACCGCGGTCGACTACGTGGGAGTCCAGCGACATAGCCATTACGCTAACTGCTGGTTCCCAAGAACAGCATCTTAAACTGCGGTACAGCTGGTGACTACAGACATTCCCAATATTTATGACAGAGCATGTCATACACAGCCCGTCGATTTTCACAACTGTATTGCTCAGCTGGACCATTCACCAGCTAGGTCTACCCTCATGCCAGCCAAGCAGACGAATTTTGTGGAAGAAAAAAATAGGAGTTCCCCGAGGCTAGAAGGAATGAACCTGGGTCTCTGTATCTAACATGAAACAAGAAGGATTAAATTTTATGTCCTAGGGTTAAAAAATTCTATGATTCTGGATAGTAACCCTTTTATTTTGGAATAATTTTTAGAAATATTTAGAATTTTAGAAAGTTGCAAATAAAGGACAGAAAGTTCTAGTACACTTTACACCCAGCTTCCCCTAATGCCACCACCTTACAGAGCTGCAGACATTTGTCAATCTAAGAAACCAACATTAGTATATTTCTGTTAACTAAACTCAGACTTCTTGGATTTTGCTAGTTTTTCCACTAACATCCCTCTTCTGTTCCAGGATGCAAATCAGGATATCACATTTCATTTAGCCACCATGTCGTTGGTCTCTCTGCTCTGTGACAACTGTAATTCTTTCCTTGTTTTTCATGATCTTAGCCATATTATAGCTTTTAATAAAGGCGGACTTTCTGAGATACTGTAAGAGTGATATCAAAGACATAGGCAAAATTCAAATATAATAATATAAAGGGTTGCACATAAAAACTAAATTGCAGATGATATAGGCCAAAGGATGCAATTCTAAGTGCAATCTAAAATCTGAAAGTGATACTTGCGGGAGAGCTAAGTATGTGGTTTCTATGCTACTTGCTGGCTGTTTCTAGCTTCCACTCTTGTCAAAGCACTCACAGTTCAGTTAGGTTTTTGTCATTCCGAAGAAAA